TAGGCCCAGGGCCATCAGCGACTCCTCCACCTTGGGTAACAGGTAGGTATATCAGTGGGTAAAAGCATTTAGCTTGTGGTAGTCCACACAGAATCACAGACTACCATCCTTCTTTAGTACCAGGACCACGGCGGCAGCCCACAGACTACGGCTGTCCAGAATTACCCCACTCTGTAGCATGTTGCAGATCAAGTCCTTCACCTCCTGGAACAGGAATTGGGGAATATGGCGTTACTGCTTCCAGATAAGTGGAGCATTCTACATGTGAATTGGGTGGTCGATGGCCTTTGTACAGCCATAGTCTTGCGGCTGGTAGCAAAGACCAATAGGTGTTTATCCAGTAGTTCGTAAACTAGCCTCTGTTGAGGTAAAGGATAGTCTCAGAAGGTTAATGACCAACTGTTTCAGCAGTAGCTTGTATTGTGATTTGTTCAACTAAGTCATGACTGCCTGTAGTGTGGCGTAGACGGCTTCCACCACTACTTGGGTTAGTTGGCCTTCTGAGATACAGTGACAAGGAACTAGAGGTCTGCAATGGTGGTATGAGTAGGGAGTGTGATCAGGGAGGTCCCCAGATTGATAAGTTGCACTAATACCTTCCCTTTGTGGACCTTGGATAAGGTGAGAGCAACCAACCACTTCCCTGGTGCCATTAGGTCCTTGCGGGGTTCCAGTACAACTGTGACCCTTTGTAATTTTGTGTGCGCCCCAATGGGCAGAGACCAAACTACCTCTTGGAGGTATGCCAGGTGTAGATTTTACTTGGAAATCATATGGACAACCCCCACTTGCTCAGGCTGTTTCCTCGCTGCCCTCTGGTAGGCCTCATAGGCTTGGATGACTTTGAGCCAGACAGCTCACAGACCACAGCTCCAAGCGCACTGGCGTGAGTGTTCAAACTTGGCCAGTAAGCAGGGTAAGTCCAAGTCCTTCAGTACATTCATGCCCAGAACAATAGGTTCTATTGAACTCACTGGGTCGTGGGTCACCATGACCCCTACTCACTCCACGACCTGATTGCCTATCTAAATCTTCACCCAGGTAACATCTTCCACCAGGATAAGTAGATTATTGGCCACCCTGAGTGACAGCCAAGAGGGGTCCCGCTTCCAAAACCGCTAGGCGCAGAAGTCTTAGAGCCCGTGTCAATCAGGCATGGGACTTCTTGCCCTTTGAGAAGGGTGTTCAATGCTAGACTTGGAGTGACCATGGCCTCTGATTTGATTTTCATCCTCCTGCTGCCTTCGGACAAAGAACCTCTGCCTTAACTGATGTTACGCTCTCTCCGAACAGGCTCCCCAGGTGTGCTAAAATCTATTTCAGGCTGGCCTGGTCCTCTACCGGTAGCGCCATTACTGCTCAGTAGGGTATCATCATCCAAGAAGTTGATAGCTTGCTCTGCAATCAACCAGTCAGGAATCTGAACCAAGCACACACCACTTTCCAGTCTCTCCTCCCACTCAGCCAGGGGAATATTGGAGCCTTTAAACTTAGGCACCAGAGCTAAGGGGAGGCTTCAAGGAAGGATGTCATGTCCCTGCACTTTCTCTACTTCTCTGGAGCCTTTCCCTGATGCTAACCACTGTCCCTGACAGACGGGAGACCTGTCCCTACTCTAGTCACATGCAAAATATGAGCCAAGCCTAGGAACCAGGGTCTTAAGTAGAATCTGCCTGACCCAGGATGGCCTCCAAAGTCACATGAGGCACCAGCATCAAATCGGATAGCTGCTTCCTGTGACCCAGGAAAGCATAGAGGAGCTAGGATCCTTTAGACTTCCTCTCCCTCTTCAACGCTGTTGGGGTTGAGTTCCACCTGCAGTGGAGAAAATAGACTGCACCTGCCTACAAACTCCTCTTTAAAAAGGATCTTCAGTCACTAGAAAAAAAATAAATAAATAAACAAAAGTCAGCAGCTACAAATACTGTAGCTGCTGACTTTTAATAATAGAATGCTCACCTGTCCAGGGATCCACTGCCATTCTCACCCGAACCGGTTCTTCGACAGTCTTTCTGTATCCAGTGCAGCCATGTTTATTTTGGGAAGCCAGCTGTGACTCCTTGTGGCTTTACAGACGGCTTCCCACTAGACATATGCAGTTTGTTTCGTTCCGAATCAAAATTCGGACACCTTTTCAGTTTTTCAGAGATTTAGATGTATCTGAATTACAATAATAACAAATTTAAACTAATCCAAAATAACAAAACAAAATTTTGTCAGAAATTCGATTCAAATTCGAAAACAGGAATAGAATAAAACAGAATAAAAAAAGAAAGGAATGGAACAGAACAGAACAGAAAACGAAATAATAGAATAAAATATAATAGAACAGAGTAAAACAGAACAGAATAGAAAATATCAGAATACAATCAAAATAGAATAGAAAATAAGGGAATAGAATAGAAAAGTATAGAATTGAAAAGAAATCAAAGAACAGAATAGAATAGAAAAAAACAATAGGATAGAATACAGTCTTCCTGAAATTTGAATAGAATACATTCAAATGCCGATTTGATACTTTTTGATTTGATCAAATTGAATTCAATTATACTGAATTTGGAAAACTAATCGAATTTTGAAAATGAATAAATGAAACTAAACACATTCGAAAATGAATTTAGCTAATTTAACTAAATAGCTCTGGTCACGTGAACAGGTGAGTGTATGGATGGCAGTCAATGGACTGTTAGATGACTCTGGTCAGGTGAACAGGTAAGTGTATGGATGGATTGGAAGTCAGTAGACCGTTGGATGGTTCTGGTCACATGAACAGGTGAGTGTATGGATGGATGGCAGTCAGTGAACCGTTAGATGGCTCTGGTCACGTGAACAGGTAAGTGTATGAATGGTTTGGAAGTCAGTGGACCGTTGCCTGGCTCTGGTCACGTGAACAGGTGACTGTATGAATGGTTTGGAAGTCAGTGGACCGTTGCCTGGCTCTGGTCATGTGAACAGGTGAGTGTATGGATAGATTGGAAGTCAGTGGACTGTTGGCTCTGGTTATGTGAACAGGAGAGTGTATGGATGGATAAGAAGTCAGTGGACTGTTGGCTCTGGTCACATGAACAGGTGAGTGTATGGATGGATGGCAGTCAATGGACTCTTAGATAGCTCTGGTCACGTGAACAGGTGAGTGTATGGATGGATAAGAAGTCAGTGGACTGTTGACTCTGGTTACGTGAACAGGTGAGTGTATGGATGGATAGCAGTTAGTGGACCGTTAGATCGCTCTGGTCACGTGAACAGGTGAGTATATGAATGGATTGGAAGTCAATAGAATAGAATAATATAGAATAGAACAGTCTTCCCGAAATTTGAACAGAAAATATTTGAATGCCGATTCGATACTTTTTGATTCGATCAAATTGAATTCAATTAGACTGAATTAGAAAAATTCTAATTGAATTCGAAAATGAATAAACGAATCTAAACAAATTCCGAAAAATTTATTTAGCTAATTTAACTAAATAAAACTATTTAAATAATCGAAACTAAACAAAACCAGTTTTTGTTCTGCACTTATCTACTTCCCACTGTATATGGATGAGTCATGCTGTGCCCTGAGAGGTGTCCCAAGAGGTTGTGGGTGGGGAGGAGAATTACCTGTGGATCCAGTGGTTGTGGGCACAAGTACCTGCTAGAACCAGCTATCCTCCCCCCCCCCCCAAAAAAAAAAAAAAATAAAGTGCCATTATTGTTAGAGCGTGGGGGATCTTAAAGTGGAGTTCCGCTCACCCTGTCAAAAAATAAGTCAGTAGCTACAAAAACTGTGGCTGCTGACTTTTAAAAAACAGCCACTTACCTGTCCCTCGGTGGTGTGTCCCCTGCAGCCTGTTTCACCGGCCGTCCTGTATTCCAGGTGCTGGCATCTTCAGTGTGGGTACCCGGCTGTGACAGCTTGCGGCTTCACAGCCGGGTGCCCACTGCACATGCACGAGTAGCACTGCGCTTCCTGAATGGCCCCGTCATCTTCTGGGACCTGTCACATGTCCCACAAGACTACAGGAAGGGAGGGAGGGAGGACACCTTCTGTTTCCGACTGCCTAGGCGATCAGACCGCAAATTATTATTATACAGTATTTATATAGTGCCAGAAGGTTTGCTCAGCGCTGTACATTATAGTGGGGGACAGAACATGAGACAATACAGTAACAAAACAATACACGAGGGGTTCGAGGGCCCTGCTCTTTCGAGCTTACAATCTAGGAGAGCAGGTACCTGTCAAATTCGGGTACTCGCTCCCCCCCCCCTGCCCCCCAAAGGTGCCAATCCTTAATGAGCAGCGGGGGAGCAGTCCTTAAAGCGGAACTTCCCCTTTTGGGTGGAACTCCACTTTAATAGAAGAACTTCCTAAGTAGGGTGAAGCTCCTCTTTCAGCTGGAATTCCACATTCCTGACTCCAGAACCGCCTTCATTTCTATCTACCTGGAGTCCACCTGTAGGGATTGGTTTTAGCACAGAGGCCTGAGCAGAGACTACAGCTCCCACCATGGGGTGCCCAGGCGGATCCCAGCCACGGATAGTTATAAAAGGTACACAATACACGTCTGTCCTACTTGTTACCTTTCACCTACTTCCCATCACACTTGTGATCATCCCCAGTCCTGGGAAACCCTGCTCCGGGCTGCAGCACTTCACAAGTCACGGGTGGGGGGGGTTGTGATAAATGACATACAAGCCAACTAGCACATTTATTGTGGCCTTGTATACATTGATATCGTGTGATATAGTTTTGGTTTGTAAGCCAGCAGACAATCCGTTGGCGTAAATAGAGAATAGGGGTTTTAGTTGACTTACCAACCCCCCGGCCTAGTGGAGTATGCCGGCCGGTGACGTGGCTGGTCGCCTGACGTCACCGTGTTCCGATGAATGTGGGGCGTGGCTCGGTGACTAAGAAGCCGGTATCTGAGTAGCAGAGTGACATAGCTGCGGGTACACGGTGATATAGTGCTGTACGGGCGGGCAGAGTTGTGTGGTATACGTCTGAGCTGAGGCCGGGGATGTATCAGAGTGCGGCAGGCAGGCTGTGCTCGGCGCTGAGAGACGTGCCCGCGCTGTGCGCCTCCTCTCTGCGGCAGCAGCCCCACCACTCCCCGGTGAGGAGGAGGACGCTCTCGCCGTCCGTGCAGGGCAGCTTCGGCTGCTGCCATAGTCTGGCCGGCTGGCTCGGGGACGGAGCGCCTAAAACGGTTCCCAACACAAACCCAGCGGCAACGGCGACTGTACCGGCAGGAGGAGCAGCGGGGAGTACGGCCAGGACGGTGCCTAGAGCGGGTGAGTGTGCGGGGCTCTGGGTGTTCTATGGGGGAAATGGTTCTGGTCACGTGAACAGGAGAATGCTATGTATAAAGCGGGTGTTCTGCGAAGGGTTCATTGCTGTGGTCACGTGAACAGGTGAGTGTGGAGCTGGGGAATGCGGGCTGTCGGCTCCCTCTGCATTTCCTATGGCTCTGGTCACGTGAACAGGTGAGGGAATGGATGGAGGATGCGGGCAATCAGGGAACCTCGCATTCCTCTGTGGTCACACAAACAGGTGAATGTAAATGGGGAACGGGGGCTGTCATTGGACCATTGCTTCCTTCTGCATTCCTTGTGGTTCTGGGCATGTGAACAAATGTGTATGGATAAATTGCAATCAATGGACCCTTGGCTGACTCTGGTCATGTGAATAGGTGAGTGGATGGCTGGCGGTCAGTGGACCATTGGCTGACTCTGGTCATGTGAATAGGTGAGTGGATGGCTGGCGGTGAGTGGACCCTTGGCTGACTTTGGTCACGTGAACAGGTGGATGGATGGTGGTCAATAGACTGTTGGATGGATGGCGCTCACTTGGACAGGTGAGTGGATGGATGGCAGTCAATGGACCGTTGGATGGCTCTGGTCATGTGAGTGGATGGATGGCGGTGAATGGACCGTTGGATGGCTCTGGTCATGTGAACCGGTGAGTGGATGGATGGAGGTCAATTGACCATTGGATGGCTCTGGTCACGTGGATGGATGGTGGTCAGTGGACTGTTGGATTTATGGCGGTCACGTGAACAGGTGAGTGGATGGATAGCAGTCAATGGACCGTTGGATGGCTCTTGTCACGTGAACAGTTGTGTATGGATGGAGGTCAGTGGACCGTTGGATGGCTCTGGTCACGTGAACCGGTGAGTGGATGGATGGAGGTCAGTGGACCGTTGGATGGCTCTGGTCACGTGAACGGTGAGTGGATGGATGAGGTCAGTGGACCGTTGGATGGCTGGTCACGTGAACAGGTGAGTGGATGGATGGCGGTCAATGGACTGTTGGATGGTTGTGAACAGGCGAGAGAGTGGATGGATTGGAAGTCAGTGGACCATTGGATGGTTCTGGTAACGTGTACAGGGAGTGTATGAATTAATTGGAAGCCAGTGGACTGTTGGCTGGCTCTGGTCATGTGAACAGGTAAGTGTATGGACGGATAGCAGTCAATGGACTGTTAGATGGCTCTGTTCATGTGAACAGGTGAGTTTATGGATGGATTGAAAGTCAGTGGCCCATTGGCTGGCTCTTGTCACGTGGACAGGTGGTGAAATATTGTGGACGCTATGGGGGAATCCCAGGGGGACTGAATGGAATGTTGTCTACCTCTACAGAACGTTCCTGGTGATGTGATCAGGCAAGAGAACGTTCTGTTCAGATGAATGGTTGTGGCATGTGTGCGTGTCTTTCTATGAGGATGGTGAGCAGCTTGTATTGTATTATGTAACCGGCAGAAGATGTGGGGGAGGGGCGGTGATTCATGTAGCTGATGTGTGATTACTGCAGTGCAGTGCTGGGGGTAGGGGGCTGTCAGGTCGGAAGTCTTTCTGTAGGTTTAGTACACTATTCATAAAGACTTGTGCAGACAGATTTTGCAAAAGTGTCTCTAGTGCGTTCTAAAAGTGGTGAGGAATGCGCCAAATCCATGTACCTGCCTAGAACTTGTACTTGAATTTGGCTCATGTGGCACCACTTTAGAATGCCAGCAAGACGGTTTTGCTAAAACTGTTTGTGATAGTTTCTCTCTGTAAGCCAAGCGAGAGTTGATCTTAATTTGATCCACTTTCATAAGATTCAAACTGTTGATACTTTATTTCGAATTTGTCGTGTTTACTGTGCTATAGTGTAAAGGTGGCACATTTAGAACTACAGTACCTGAACAAGTCGCTGTTAAAGCCAAAAGTGTCGCAGATGTTTCAAGAATTTGACGCAATACATTACTAAGAGGGATTAACTCCAGAAAAGTGACGCAGTAGCTTTACTGAATTCTCCCCAGTGTATCCATTTTCCTTTCCAACGCTTATCACAGCATGTCTGACCAATTAGTACATCCTGTACTGTCTGGGATGCTAATTGTGGTTTCATTCAATTCATGTCTGCTGAAAATGGTGTTCTGTACAGGGACATTAATCAGTACACAGTAAACATTTATGGTTTTACTGCTTTATGCCTGGTACACACGATGAAAAAAAATTGGACCAAAAAACAAAAAAAAAACCTGCTTTTGGCGCAATCGTGCGATAATCTATTCGTTAGTACACAGATTTCGAGAGCTGATCACAGCAGTTAATGTGAAATCATCAGGGACAAGCACGATTTTCTTGTAAGATAACAGAACAAATTATTTTTGTTTACTCAGTACAGTATTCGTCTAGAAAATCGAGTAACCAAAACAGTGCATTATCAGAAGCCTGAAAATAACCTGAAAGGAGAAAGGGCAGCGAAAACCATCTTTTGTTTACAACAAAAATGCTCCTAAATACATAAAAAAATTCCGGATAAAAATATGTATAATGGCAGTTTATGAAGTGATATTCTTATTTCTACAATTTGGTAATAGTCTGCAGACGGGTCACATGTACATGGCATCACTTTCAATTACATGCTGTTATGTTGCTACGCACATAAAAAGCTGCACTGGATTGTACGAGAATTTTCATATGCTTGGTAGCACTCTGCTATATGATGTGAGAGTAGCAAAAAAAAAAAAAGTGATCATTTGTCGGATAGTCTCGTCATGTGTACTAGGCTTTAGTTAACTGTATTGCATCTTCAGGAATAAAAAGCAATTTAGGACTCATTCATGCTATCCTGATTCATGCTGCATTTATGTGACCATTATTGTCATGCTGCTGGTTCCTCCAGGTGTGTGTTGGACCTGGAACTATGCAGACAGGAGGTCAATCAGCCACAGTTCAAGGAACTCCCAGCTACCTCTAGAGGAACTCTAGTTGAATATTTCAAAATAATAAATATTTAATATATATTTCATTTAAATGATGCAGCATCAGTCCCTCGCCACCTCTAAGCCTGATAACTGAGTGATCAAAGACCACTGATCGCTCAGTTCTCCTAGTTCTCCTATCTGCTCTGAACACGGAGCTGTGATTACAAGTCACTGGTTCTCCTCTCTGTCCCTCCAGCACTCACTGGAGCACTGGGCTGTGGAAGGGGCAGGAGTGGCTGGCTGAACAGCGATCTGAGAGGCTGAGCCTGCTAAGCAGGCATCTGGGCAGATCCCAACCATATTCCTGCAAATCCTGGACTGGCTTTGTGTCGTTGACCAACAGCAGAGTTTAGCCTGCTGTCGGCTGAATGTGGGTCACAGGAGGGCAGAGCGAAGTGCACACCTGTGACCTACAGGAGAAGTATGGCCAAAAGAGCTTTGTTTCCATTTGCCCTATTCACACCGTACACGTGCAGTGGTGTGCACTGCATAAAAATCACCAAGTATGGGTTTTATGCAGTGCAACTCATCTTACCGCATAACACCACAGCATGTCATGAAGTGCTGCACTGAATAGGATTGAATGAAGTGTCATTTTGTGAAATCTTAATTCTTTGAACAATGTTGGTTGATAGGGATACCATATATAGTGTTCCATGATATCCTTTTTTTTTTTTTTTTTTTTTTTTTTTTTTTTTTTCTTTTTGACTCTTAAGTTGCATTTTGCAACAGCAGGCAGTTGATATCAAAGTTAACACTTTCCTATTGGTGAAAAAAAGCAATACACATCAAAAAGGCACTGTGTGTGTTTCTGCTGTGTGCCCATTGAAGTCTATTAAACCTATAATACAGTGTTGCATTAAAAAAAAAAAAAAAAAAAGTCCCTGCCCCTTTCCAAAATCACAGCAGCTGAAAAACATAGATGTGAACCTGTCCCATAGGAAACCATGCTAAATGGACTAAAGTGCGTTTTCTGCAAAATGCGCTAAAAAAAAAAAAGCCTAGGTGTGAACCAGGCCTTAAGGCAAAACCTCTCTTACAGCTTCTTTAACCACCTCCCGCCCGCCATATAGTAATATATAACGGGCGCAAGGTGGTTCTCTCATTCTGTGAGGATGTCATATGACGTTCTGTGAGGACGTCATGTGATGTCCTACCATTCTCACTGCGCATGAGCGGCTCAGGGAGCGCGCAGCGTGGCGATCGACCGTGTGCTGTGTCCCTCAGACACAGCGAATCACCAATCACGGAAAGAGCCGAAGATGTCGACTCGGTCATGTGATCAGCTGTGTCCAATCACAGCTGATCACATGTAAACAGGGAAATGCCAGTTATCGGCATTTCTCTCCTCTCGCTGTCACGCTGACAGCTTATGAGGGGAGAGCCGGTAATCTGCTTTCTGCGGAGGGGACATGTACACTGATCATCAGGGCACTGATGATCAGTGTGCCCTGATGATCAGTGTGGCCCCAGCAGTGCCACCTGTCAGTGCCTTGTATCAGTACCGCCAGTCAGTGCCATATAGCAGTGCCATGTATCAGTGCTGCCTTTCAGTGCCCATCAGTGATGCTGTCAATGCCCATCAGTGCCACCTCAGTGTCCATCACTGCAGCATCATTATTACACATCAGTGAAGGAGAAAAATCACTTATTTACAAAATTTTATAACAAAAACTAAGAAAAAAAACATTTTTTTTTTCAAAAGTTTCAGTGGTTTTTGGTTTGTTTAAGAAAAAATAATAAAACCCAGAAGTGATTAAATACCACTAAAATAAAGCTCTCTGTCACCAAAAAAATGTAATATGGGTACAGTGTTTGACCGTGCAATTGTCATTCAAAGTGCAACAGCAATGGAAATTGGCCTGGGCAGGAAGGGGGTATAAGTGCCCTGTCGGCTAGTGGTTAAGCATCCTGCTGGGACAGAGAATGATTTATAGATATCAGTTGACTAAAAAAAAGTAGTGCTATTAACCATTTCCTTTTGTGGTGCTATAACGCCCAGATTATTTACCAAGTTAACAAAACTTTCCAGCAAACCACC